TTAATTTATACATATATAAATCTTTGATGAGGGTCAGGGCCTGCTACCAGCAGATGTATTACCTTTTATATTCTTGGCCTGGCTGTACCTGGGACAACAGAGTTCTGACCTATGTCAAGATACGGCAGTAGTAAAAACTAAATAGGAAATAATCAAGGATACTGCTGCTAGAACAGTAAGTCCGTAGATTCTTGGCACAAATTTAAACCTTATAATTACATATTAAGACCTGATAACAATGTCAGTGTGCACTTATACGAGCTGCTTACATGTGGAGCTGCTGTTAGAAGAGGAAGGCATTAACACTCTAAGTAGGCTATACAAATAGTAGAACCACAAAGGAAAATCTGAGGTCATCAGCTCCTACAATTATGAGCTCACTTAAGTATATGGAGACAGAAGTGCAGTATTAAACACTGGCTTTAACTCTGATTAAAGACAGACTTCACTGGTCAAGGATAGTTTTATAACAAGAACATAAATTTGGATTAAAACTTGTTATCCTCAAAAGATGTTCTTAAAACAGGTAGAAACTTGATTTTTAAATTCTGACTTTCACTGTACATATATAAAAGTTACTCTGTGTGAATATGTATGTATATCTCTGTATATGTGTATATATAGTTTTTATAAATATTCTTACATATATAGAGTGTATATATACGGTCTTACACAATGCGTATCAACCAGCTTTTGCATACAGCACCTTTATAAAAATGCATGACGTTTAAGCATAAAGTTGATGTCTCCAAAACTGGTTCTCCCTGCCTTTGAAAGCTTTTTTTCTCTTTTTCTCTTTACTACAGTTATTTTTTTTTATTAATCTCAGGAAATTAAAAAGAGACTGAAAATGCATAGAGCCTGCATCTGAATTCACTGGAAGCATGAATTGCAGTGGGACGTTATTTCTGGCATGGTGCTTTTAAAATTAAGCTCTAGAACTTTTGTACTCTAACCTTATAAACAGATTTTACCATTTTGCATTACTTTAAAACATTTTGTCTGAGTGTGAACAGTCTCAACCATGGAGATGAGACAAGACCTATGGAGAAAGGAAATTACAGCATAATGGAAATGGTGGCTGGGAGCCATACCACCCCGGGCTGTGAGGTCATCCGAACAGAAATGCCAAGCTGAGCTGATTTGGTCAGTGCTCCAAGTCAGGATCTCTGAGAAAACCTCCGAGGTTGCCAAAGGAAGTGGTGGTGGCAACATTGTAGGTGGTACTCTCTGTTCTTGCTTCAGGTCAATAACCTGTGCCATGGGAGCCAGCAGGACTTCCTGGAAGAGTTGTGTGCATGATGTGAAGCCACAGCCCTGAGTATCAGGGATTATTTAAAGACCACCATGGACTGTGTGTGAAAGGTAGACTTGTTAACCCTGGGGTACAGATCACATTTCAGTATCAGCCTTTCTTAGGTACTTTCTCAAAGTTATTCCAATACTAGCTCCTCCTTGGGGCAGAATAAAAGCAGTAATGTAATGCCAGGCTGCTGGAGTATTAAAAAAAGTTCAAACCCCATGGAGAGAGACTTTCACTCTAAATCCTGTCATAAACTTGAATGAGTTTTGGATCACATCTAGAGTCCTTAATGTAGAAGGACTGCAATAGGGCTAATCTGATTTTGAAGGAACTCCTCTCTTTTCATGCATTTACCGTTGCGGCAATGCTGCCTTTCCCCTTCAGCCATAATCACCAGTCATTTCTCACAGATGCTCTCACAGCAGCTCGACTCTGGATTGTTTTTCTCCCCACCCCCACTATGGTCTAGTGACATTATGACATTACATTTTCCCCAGAAACAATGACATGAATCTTATTTATAACTGGTGGTAAAACTTTATTATTCAAGTTTAGATGTAACAGACATCTTTGCTGCCTGAAGATTGTTTGCATAAGAAATACACCAAGAACATGTTTGTGAGTAGAAATGAACATGCACTATGAAAACCAAAAAACAAAACAAAACAAAAAACCCAAAACAAAACAAAACAAAAGACACATCCATGTGTTGTAAGGACAAAACATTAAGAGCCAACATTCTAGAGTCAAATCAGGGCTACAAGTTTAATGATGGTTTTTAGCAACATGAAGTCATTCTTTATGAAGTACTTTTTTTTTTTTTTTTTTTTCTTTTTTTTTTTTTTTCCTTTTTCTGCTGGTGAATTTTCTACAAGCTAAATTTACAATGGCATTTTGAGATGTTTCCTTTTCTCCTGTTCTCCTTCTACATAGAGCTCAGAGGCCAAAATGATAGGAATGGAAAACTGTGGTTGCTGTTACAGTGTTTATTCTGAGAATTTTACTTTGCTAAGTGTAACCAAAAATCAAATGAAACTGGTATTTATCTGGCTGGAAGCCATTAAATAATTGTCTTTTATCCTCTTAAAAAAAGGTAAATCAGGCTATATGTGATTACTTTATAGGTAGCACCTCACCAACTGCCAGCTTTCCGGAGCTGGCTGAATGAAATGAAATTGTGAGGAAGAGGGTAGGGGAGGAATCCTATTCTGAGGTGAGGAAATTATGTAAATCATTTTACTTGGCTCATCTCAACTTTATAGAAGAGTTTTGTAAGGATTTCTCACTTATCTATCACATTTGGAATATGTTGACAAATTGTTCACTATTCTTTGCCAAGCATAACTGTCTCCACAGAAGCAGAAGAAAATATATCTACCCTTCTGGCTGAACAGAAGTGAACTTCTAATCTCTTTGGCTTTTCTGACCAGTATTAGGAATTAGCATGTTAAGTCAGCCAAGAAAAATCAATACAGGAGCAAGAACTGGAATATATTTAGACATCCTGGGCAAAAAGCAGATGGTAGACAACATCCTTAGCACATAAAGCAAGTAGTTATGACTACAAAGTAACACTGTCCAGTCCAAAGATGGACATGAAAGTCCATCCCTGAACTGAGAACTAATCCACCGTTGCCAAATCAGGTCTCCCCATTGCACAACCACTACGTTTCAGCACTGTATACAATTAGCATCAATCACTTTTGTCCTGCTGCCCCTCTAACTGCAAAAATAATCTCGCCCACAGCGTGCCTCAACTTTTTGAGATGCCTCTGTTCTCTCTCTTTAAAATATCACAATGTGCAATGGTACATTTTTTAGGCAAAACTGAGATACAAGTATCAAGTGTCGCTCCCCCTTTCTGGATGGTCCATGAAAAATTAAGAGGGACTTTCACTAGAACAGTGCCAACATGGTGCAAAACTTCTTTTGGAAAGAACTCCGAGTTTAGCACCTGAATGAAAACGGTGCTCTGGAAATTCTTTGTCTCCTGCTGCATTAACCTAGGGGGCAGCAGCCACGAAGTGATAGCTTAAGAGACAGTCCAGTTTGCAGAAGATGCTGCATGACAGATCCTGCTATACAGAGTGTTAATGGAAACACTGTCCATTCTGCAAACTGATTAATGACAGGCACCACAAATCATCTGGATTTGAACCATCTACGCATTCTGTGGCCCAACTTGAGATACATTTTAAGATCTCATTCCTTAGTAAGAGAACCACAACACCTTGAAGACACTGATAAATTGAGAATATTCTGTGAGAGTTCAATTTTTAGTGCTGTAAGCCGATTGAAATGCAGTGGTTGTGGTAACTACTTGTGTGTGCTTACATTAATTTCTGCCTGAGAGTTATTAAATAAGATTATTCTTTTTCAATGTCGGGATTTATTTTCCTTTTGATTAATATCCACTGTGAGGGGGTCTGGAAAAGGGATGGAGTCACCTCTGTTTTGTGATGAAACAAAACTGTGCTCCTCCCACCCCAATCAAATAGAACAGGCTATGGCAAAATCCTATTTCTTACAAAGCAGAAATCTTAGAACATCTCAATATGTCATGGCAAGAACAATGAACTTTTTCCAGATTTTATTTGCACCATCTAGGTGTGCAATACTAACATTCAAAAACCTGTCTTGTTCTTTGCACTCATAAGATTTCATTTCTCCTCATCCCCAAACCCTGATATGTGTATTTCCTGTTATTGGCCTCTGCTTCTGAATTTAGCAAGAGGTGTTATGAAGTACAGGGTGGTGCTCAAGTCTTACAATGTGCATGTCCCCCCCTAAATTATTTTGCCATGAAGATGCAGCTTCTATCAATGAAGAAGCCACAGGAACTGGTAGGTCTTAGATGAAGTTAAGTCAAACCAGTAACTACTGAAAACCGGCAGGCAGCTACTTCTGAAGCTGATAAAAATCACTTAGTGCGTCTAACATGTTTCTTGGAAAAGCTGTAAATGACACACACTGGACCCTGACGTAACAAAACGCGGGCAATCTATTTCAGTCCCCACAGAAAAAAAAAAGAAACAAAAAAATACCCAACAAAAATAAATCCACAAAAACCAAGTCAGAACTTATTATTGGAGAACAATAGTAAAAACATAACCAGACTTTGTCTGGCACTGGTATCAAGCTGGAGATCCATCTAAAAAACAGAAGAAGAAGAATGTGGCCCAATATCCTTTGCTAACCTAGAACACTATTGAAGGGTTATAGAACTCAACCATGAACAGATTGAGTGGGACTTTCCATATGCTGCTCACCAGTATAGAAGCAATGGGTGGAGCAGGAAGGAATGAAAGCCTAATGCTGAACAATAGCCTGTCTGTGCCTAACAAATCAGAGAAACTGTGCAATAATGTTTCATCTGTGTGAAAATGTAACACATAAAATAATGCCAAGGTCCGCAAGACCTTGGTGACCAACTGTGTAAGTGCTTTTCATGCATGGTGACGCTCACTGCCAGCTGCTTTAGGCACATTATTTTTCAAAAGACTTTCAAAGTGCTGAACATTTAGGCCAGTTCCTCCCTGGTTTTCCTTTTGCCAAACCCTATAAGACATTTCCTATCACCTCTCCTTTCATCTTCCACCTCCCTCTCTATCTGGTTAAGTATCTTATAAGTGCACCAAATTCTAGAGGGGAGAGTGGTGAGATTCAGTAAGTTAAATACAAGAACTTTTTTTTTTTATGATGCTTTAGTTTCAATTACATGAACATCTGAGAAAGGCGGCATGTAAGTGAGATCAGAATAGGACCCTTTACATATAATCTCAAGTGAGGACTTAGTCCATAGATATTTTTATAGAACATTTTAAAAAATAAAATGCATGAATGGAGAAATAAAAGACAACATAATATCAGAAAGACATTTTAAACTTCATTTGCTGCAACATTCATGAACCAGTTGAGCTACACCTGCCATTCAACCATAAGGAACTAAGACCCTGCACTGCGAAAAAGAAACAAACCCAAACAAAACAAAAAAGCAACTGCGTAATATTGTAAAAATGGAGTGCAATGCTACTACAGAATGCAATAAAACATCAGTGCTGCATCGTCAAACAGCACTTATCAAAATAATTTCTGAAATGTTTCTTCTGAAACACAGACAAAGCAATAAAAAGAGGATATATGTTTATCATTTTAAGCATAACAATGTGAGTTAAGAGCTTAAGAATACAAAAGTACTTGGAATGAATAGTGCTACCCTTTTTTTCCTAAGTAGGCATAAAAATATTTTCATTTCCTTCTTGTTTTTCCATACCATTAATATCAACAAATTTCATTCATTTCATGTTATCGTTTACAACTTTAATGCACACACACAGAAAAAAAGATACCTACTGCAATAGAAATAGTTGCTTCATTACCTTGTTTGCTACATTTGCAAATGTAAACAGCGAGGCAGAGCCAGAACTGACTCTAATGCATGATGGAATATCTTTGTTGCATACGTACACTGTAGAAAATAATTATTCAATATGTCAGGCACCATTATTTGAAATGTAATACATTAATATTTACTAGAAAAATAAGGTTTTTTCTATTTGTTCTCCCAACTTCTTTAATGAAATAAGTTAATCTGACAGTGCATCCAGTAGCTTGTAATATCTTCTACATCCCTGTGGCAAAATAATAAACTACTGGTTGGGACACTATAATGAAAATGATTAAAGTCAGTTCTTGTACACCCTTGTAGCAAGCATGGAGGCTCGTCTAACAGCACCTTTAACCAATTATTTAATATTTAGTTATTTAGCCCTATTTCCCTGAGCAGTTATGCTGAGGAGCTTTCCCTTCATGGATAGTTTTTACAAAGCTTTAAGTATTAAAAAGTACTATGAAGACATTTAATGCTACTTAGCAAAAGCTGGTATAAGTCTACTGAAGGGATTGACTGGTATGTATAGTAATATTAAGCTTGTGGAGAAGTAACCTTAGACTTTAAGGTTTAGAAATGTAATATATTAAAAATATATTAAAATAAAATACAGGTTACCTTGTTCTATGCAAATTAAACCCGGAGAGTGGCTTCTGTATTAGAGACTTCACTTGCACAAAATGGTTTTCCTAGACTAAAGTGTGCCAGAAAGAATGTAGTGATAAAATGGTAGCTAAAAACCAGCAGAGTCTGAGAAACATCTAGATGAAATTGCTGCCAAAGCTTTGAGAACAAAGTGATCCTAAGGCATGTTGTAGGGCAGAAATTAGCCCAAATTAAAGAAATGACCTTTTAACATCAGTATATTTAACAAGTCTAGTTCTTATATACAATGTGCATATGTTCACTATACCCCTGCAGCAGTATATACATATACACATCTTTGCACTCTTGCCAGTTATGTCTTTTACAGCAAAGGTATTAATTGTCCGGTAAAATTTTCTCAAGGTTATTCACCATGATTCACTGCATTCTGGCTAGCTTTGGTGGGCCATGTCCCATATCTTCTCCCCCTTCTGGCCACCATCCAACTGTTCTTTTTTTCTTGGTAACCCACTCATTTAAAAGGAAAAAAAAAAAAAAAAAAAAAAAAAGAAGAAAAAAAAAAAGAACAAGGGATTTAATATTGGATAAGGCATGCTCTCTATATGAAGTGCTTTATAGGTCTTCACAAGACATTACAAGCTATTGAATTCCCATCAAGGAAACCTATTTCTGTTTAATTGTGCTAAGTGCTAAGGTTTACTCTTTAGGTTTTCCATTCTTTTCAGCTTGTGCATTGTTCCTGTGTAGGCCCCTCTGGATGTGAGTTGTGAAGTCATACTTGTCCGTGCAAAGATGCTGGCATATGCTGCACTGGAAAGGTCCACTGTCACCATGGCAACTCATATGCAAAGCATACATCACTTCATCCAGAAAGACAATGCCACAGTGCACACACTTGGTAGAAAGTTCATCTTGAGTACTTCTATCAACTTTCTCTGTTTTTACTACATTCAAGGGACCTTCATTTTTTACATTTGATGGTGCCTTACTCTTTTCCTTGGAGGCACCATTTGCAGTTGGCCCAGGTCTGGAATGCTTTATCGCCAAATCTAGAGGAATGTCATTGTCTGATCCAACAGCTGAAAAATGAGGAGGCAGATTAAAGGTGGGATAAGGCACATAGTTTTGGCAAGGATTTGGTAGGCCAGGCACGTGACTCAAGTAGTGTGGATTCCCAGGAACAGACAGCTTATATTTACTCCAGAATCTCAGCCAGTCAGCTTCACTCTGAAAGTCATTGTGTACAAATGGAAGTCCAAAAAGTGGGTACTGGTATTTTTCAATAGGGCTTCCAGGTGGAGAATAGTTTGGGTGTTTCGCGGGTCTCATGTATTTTTCTATCGGGCTGCCTCTCTCTGAGCTTCCTTTCCCTTCTGATATCGATGAACTGTTTCCTGGGTCTCCAGTACTTTCCTGAGGACTTTTTATCTGAATGTGCAAAGGTTGCATCCTTTTGTGAATATCCAGAGTTTGGCTGACCAATATTGGCTGCTGAGCAGAATGGCTTTTAGTCAATGAACCTGGGGCCTCATACTTACTGAGGCTGGGAAGCTGAATTTCTCTTTGATGACCTTCAGGTAAATGATCCTCTGACCTCCTCTCTAAGGGGCTTCCATTGACTTGTTCCTCACTGCTACCCCTCTGCTGTTTGTTTAGCTGCTCAGCCTGAAGTGCCTCCGGGTTAAGGCGCTTTCTTGTTCGTCTCCTAATGATCTGCTCACCATTGTTCTGTTTAATGATGTTTAAAGGCCTGGGAGTCTGCATGGAACACACACATAATGAACAAAAGAAAAAAAGACAGACACATTAAACAAATCTGCAAGACCATGCTCACATAAATTTATCTTCTCTTTCATGAAGAGCTCTAGTATAAGTTTTATGGGAATGACCAAATTTCTCCCCAAATGCTGGTTCCTGGACTCCCACCCTAAAAGCAAACTATGAATTGGTTTGTTTTATCAACTAAGTCAACTGCCTTAAGACATACTGTACCTGTTTACTTAAAAAGGCATGAAGTATCCAATCTGCCAAAGCATTTATTACCCACTACTTAAATTTATTACTCCTTTAAAATTCTGGGGGAGATGTGCTGAACGTGGGTGCTGAATGCTGGGGATGAGGAGGGAGATGACCTAGTGCTATTCTATGCACTATTTCACCTCGGGGAGGGGTTGGCACAGATCACACTATGGCAAGAATTGAGTAACACCTACCTTGACACCCAACCCCCTCTGACACAGATAAAAAATGCAAGCAAATACAGGGCTTGCTGTCACCTAGCAAAAGGACTGCATGTCCACTGTGGTGGTGAGTGGGATAGTGGTGTCTGGAAAGGGACTAAGAAAGATGGAGAAGAAAGCCCAGGAAAACTCCTATGCACCAAAAGGTCTACCTGGGACTTTGGTACCAGTTCCTTCTCCTGCATCCCTACTGTATTTCTTTCAAAATGTTATTGATGTTGTGATATGAAGTCATGAGGGAGAGAACGTGTCCCTTGAAGGTGGGAAAAAAGGTCTGTAAAGAAAAAAGCACCATGGAAGAAGCAAAGGCAAGAACGAAGTGAGGACTTTTGTTTTCATTTGCTACTTTCCCACACCACCTCAGGGTAGGTGGCCTATTTAGATGAGAACTGAAAATACTTTTGCATGACGAAAAAAAAATGTAGGCCTCTTTGAAAAGCCCCACAACAGGAAGGCAATGGTATGTGAATGAAAGATGGTGCTGTAACATCGGTATGTGTTGCTCTACTGGGCAGATGTTAAAACAACAAAAACTACCTAAAAGTCATTCAGTTTGGTGTGCTGGCAGTTGCCATTTGTCTCATCCAAATGCACACATAATCCTGTTTTGGTTGGAGGCCAGAAAAGTGCCCCACACAGTATTCCATTTATATGTTTATTTGGAAATTTTCTTTTTAACATTGTTTTAAAGTGCAGATTAAATTTTGGCATACAGTCAATATCCAAAACAATTTGTACATTGAATATAATAAAATTTATATATATTCATAACTTTGAGTTAATACAAAAATATCCATAGCTTTAAGAGTGTTCACTCTACTATTTGTAGAGATCTAGTTTCTCTCTTGACTTGCCATCTTCCTCTCCTCTTTCACCTATTTATTTCCCTGAAGTCAGCTTATTCTTAACGGTTAACTACATTTTAGGCAGTGCAGCTACTTGTTAAATTTTACTTTCTATTAAAACTCTGAATCAGAATAAACACTTTGATTTAAATTTTTAATAAGCAAAATTTAAACTTAGCAGAAAAACAGCACCTGAACCAGCCTCCTCAAGCAGATCAAAGCTGAGGTAAAATCATGTTAGATAAAATTAGAATATTTTCTACGTAAATGAAGTTTATAGGTTGTAGAATCAATAGCCAATTAATATGCATAGACATATATTCTTTATTACAAGCTCAGTTGAAATTCCTCACCTTTTTATGACAATTAACACTGTCATACTGACATGCTGTGTGAGATCTCACAATATGGTTGATGTTGCTCTTATTAAACTTTTATTTATACACTACAGACCATTTTCACATGGCTTCCAGATAACCTTTCAACAGTTTGGAAATACTTTTAGTCTTACTCTTCATGCTACAGGTATGAAGTCTGATTGTAGAAGTAGTTAGAAGAAACATCTTCATACCTGTGATTAAGGACCCTCACACACTTGTTTGCAGCTCTGGCTCTTCAAAGTTACATGGCACAAGGAGTTAAAGGTTGTAGGTCCAACTTAAAAATTCTTCAGCATGCAAATGACTATACTCACCTGAGTAGTCTTTAGCTTATTAAAACAGACTATTTGGCGGAGTAAAGCTACTCACGTTTTCCTTATGTGAGGAAAGGTAATAAGGTGCAGAGAGAAATATTCTGTATTTGGTTGCAACTAAGGCAGACAGAAAATTTTAAGCTCTCTACTTGATTTTCAGTGGAGTATTAAACTTAGAAAATAGTGGAAACATCACCAGAACTTTACTTTTAAAATGCCTTACTTCAGATCCTTAATTATATGTCATACATAATATACCGAGTATGATCACAACGATTTTTTTTCCATCTCTATATCACTATGGAATAAAATCTAGTTTGTCCATGACTGAGTTAGAGTTATTAAAAAGTGTGAAACAGCACCACAATAATAATGGTTAAATTCATGATTCTGTGGAGACAGAAATCTCTGTCAGCAAATGTGAATATTGTGTATATGTTTGCAGGGAACTGCAATTTTCTTCACTAAAACTATTTAGTAATTGACCATTGGAATATTACTACACATTTCTTAACATAGCTGCGTTAAAGGAGAGAAATTTGAAAAAGCTGGCAAGTTTAATGTAAATGACCCTTAGATTGAACATTTTTGAAAACACATTGAAAAATTATTCAAAGTTATCACAGAAATGGGAATGTGACTTACAGCAGAAATCACTACCCTGTTAACATTTGTGAGTCACTACCACCTAGTAGTATGACAGACTATAAATTATTATTATTATTAAATACAAGTAAAAAAAGGACCTTAGAGATAAATGTATTATACACATTCTTGAGCTAATGGGAACAGTAGTTCTAGATAGTGATAACTGAATCAAAAGAGAGCTATGAAATGTGCAAACCTACTATAGGTGAATTTTACTTAGATGTGTAGCATAATTCAGTTTAACAGGGTGGCTCACAAAGGGAACAGTTCTATTTCCTTGAATTTTTCTAGTTTCAGACATTTAACTAATAACTGCATCATCCTAGACTCCTTAATTCAAAACATACATGACAAATACTTACTGTAATTTTTCATTAAGAGATAGGCAGACAAACAGACAGATAAAAGAAACTTTCATCTTTCTGGTGTCAGTCTAAAGAGCATCCCTCTGCATGGCTGTCCCAAAGGAGAGATTTGTTTGATTATTTCAGACTCCAACTTACAACGGAGTTGCTATCATACCACAGCAGAGTGGACGCTTAATTAAATTCTTTGCGTTTGTTTGGTCAAAGTTCAATCGAAGATATTAATGTCAAATGTCCACTGAATGACAGTTTATTGCCATGCTTGAACAGTGGAGCTAAAAGATAGTGTCAGCTTCTTGCTTTCTAAATGCATAAAGTTTGACATTGTATTGCTAATTATTATTGTTGGGAGCACATTAGTTTGTTCCTACTGGTTCATAAGAACTATCTCATCTATGTGTCTGAATCCAAAACTGATTCTTGTAGCTTTTATCTATTCAATAACTTATGCTAATAATCACAGTAAGGTCCAATACTATAGTTTAGAAAAGCATATTTTAAAAAAAGGGAAAATGGAGGCTGAGAATGGTAGTTCTACAAATAACTAGACTCAAATGTCAAACTAATGTCAAAAAGCCAAACTTTCCACCTTAAAATCTTTGTTGATGCTCACCACTGATCAATTTCCTTAAATTAGATATTATATCTAGAACTTTGAGAGATCTCCAGGAAGATGATACATTCAGCAAGACCCAGCCAAGGTGCTGGCCAGAGACTGTGCATCAGTTCATCTTCTGCTCAGATGTTATCTGACTGGCTGGGTTGTTCTGGAGCTTAAAAACAGTTACTGTCCTCAGAATGACAGCACGTGGCAAACAGAGCTAACCTTTCAAACTGGTGATGGTCTTACTGCTTTCAAACACTGGAATCTCTTTCTTTTTTATTAAGTGGCCTAGCTGGACAGGATCTTGAGTAAACAGGATTGTTATATGGTGTGTACACAAGACCAAGGGTAAAATTCACAGAAACTACTAATTGAGTCAGAAGCTTATGCTTGAAATTTAAAGAGAAATAGGTGTCTTAATTTAAGTCTTAATGCATTTGAAATGTAGTTTCCTAAGTGCCTTTTTTTCATCTCAAAAATGTTTTAAAAAATATGCACTCTCAGCCACAACACAGATTTCTGATTTGGGCTCTAAGCCTGAATTGTTATGTTGCTTTGGTAAACTCCCCAAAGCTGCCTCAGTTTCTATTTCTGAAAAATAGTAACACTTTTTAACTCCATGGGAATGTTGTAAAAATTAATTAATTAGAGGTGAGTCTCAGTCACCTGACTCTCCCATGTACTTCTATTAAAGATAGTGGGAATAATATTTAACTAGTGGCTCTTAACCTAAAAGATTATGAGCATTTTGGCACTGATCCAAGGAAACACTTAAGCATGGTTTCCCTGGAGCAGGACCAGAGCATTCAACATTTTTCAAGATCAAGTCAAGTGTCAATAAGATAAAAAGCAATACAGACAGTCCATGATAATCACTTATTCCCTGCCTGATCCTGAGGGATGGTGAATCTTTCCCTCACCAAGTGATGAGTGCCATCAAGTGAGCAGCTTCCTTGGTATTTCAGAATCCTCCAGCAGACTCTTAAGAACTGTAGGAAAAAACCCCCAAACCCCACCACCCCATATCTCCAGATTTACTGTCAAGAATAAAGGTGAAATAAAACAAAAACCACAGCAAGGGATATTTTTGATATAGATGTGATGTCTAACTTTAATAATATTTTTTTTTTATTCTAAACATGAGGGTTCCTGAATTTAGAGAGCTTTCATCACAACATATTGTATTGCCTTTAAGTGGAATTCCCAGAAAAGAAATGATTTTCCCCTCATTTTGTATCAAAATAATTAAATGCATCACTGGTGATCTCAAACACGTCTACCCACAGCATCCCAGCCCGTTTCATAATGAATCACATCTGATCCCAAAGTGACCATACTGCAAAACCCTGTTAGGAAATTAACTGCAGGCCAGGGAGTGGTACTAATCACACAACCAGACAAGACCACAGCTGCCCAGTTTAGCTGTATAGCCCCTTTTTTTCCGAACAAACCAGTAAGTTCTTCCTACCGAGTGAAGCTTCTGGTAGAGGCCACACGCATTGCATACATATCCACCATTTGCATTCTTTCGCCAGAGAGAGGTCTTTGTGGTCAGGCAATTGGCACAAAAAACACCCGAGCCTCTACGTCTCTGAAATAGGGAAGAAAAAGAAAAAAAAAAAAAACACACAGAAAAAAAAAAACAGGTCAGAGGTGAGTCACATGAGCTGCAGAGTTAGGACAAATCAACACAGGAGTTTTGTCTCTAGACTGGCAACAATGACAGTATAAAACCACACTGCCCATAATGAGGTCAGGTTCAATTGTGCTTAATAGGCACCACTGATTTTCATTATAATTAACCCTAGAGTGATGGATGAGGTGTGTGAAACACCAAAGCCTTTTCAGAATAACAGCTTTAACTTTTTGAACTTCAGGTTTTGTGCATTTAATGATGGTTTCTAAACAGCAAATTCTGAAAAACCCCTCTGGAAGCTGACATAGAATATTCTGTAAACTGGTTCGTTCACTGCATTTCACAACAGATTATTTCTTTTTAGTTAGCACGATTTTAAAGTGTGATCGGTAACAAGAATTCTGAATCACCACCACTTCAATTAATTACAGTTTGTATCTGCGTCATACTAATTCCTTTAACAGAGATTATACTTCATTAATTAAATACACGTTCCAGTCTTTCCCACTTACTTCTGAAATCAGTATAAGCTACCATATATTTCCCACAGCCCACTATGAACGAGGAGTAACCTCTGCCAAATGAATAAAAGTACAGTATTCTTAGTAAGATCTCTTTTGAACTTCACCCGAAACTCCAGAAAACACTGTCTCGTCGATAGATAGTTTTATTTATTTTATTTTAGTCAGGCAAGGAAAAGCACAGTACAACTTTCCTAAATCCAAACTGATTTTTAACCAGACTGAGGCTGTGCATTCACCAGCTTTCATAATGATCTAGGAATATTTAAAAGTAGACACATTTATGAGTATTGCTTGTTAAATTCTTTCTACAGAGTAATGATTTCATTAAACTTCTCATTTAAACAAAAGTCAGGCTGTGTTTGTGGGCACAAATATTAATAAGCAGGAAATGGAATTCTTCTGCTGAAAAGAAAATCTGAAATTCAACTCTGTTCCCTTTTTGCAAAGGAAAAAAAATCAATAAAAAACCTTCAACATCTAAGATAAGAATGGGAAAAACAGGCTGGGTGAAAACTAATTTTCTTATAAATTAAAAATTACCAATACTATAAGTAAAAATTTCAGGGTTTCATAAAATTTAAGTAATTTATTTAACTTTAGTCCATACTGTAGGAGACTGGTGTTCATGCCAAAAAAATACAATGGTTATAATTGTACTCTGATACATTTCAAATGGAAAGCTTTCTGCAGACATAATTTTGGCTTCAAGACTGGAACACTTTCTTGGCATTGAAAGGGCATTTGATTCATCGGGTGTTTCACAATGTATCACTAAAAAGACCTGGTGAGCAGCCAGTTCCCTATAGGGTAATTTTTCCATCCAGATGCAAGTGCTATCAGAGCCCCTCGTCAGCTAAACTAATTATGATCTTGCATTTGCTGATGCCTGCTCACTCTAACGTTCGACATCCTCCATTAATCATCAATACAAGGAAAATGAATGAAACGTAAAGAAACGAGGACTGGTAAGCTGCACAGCCATAAAAATCTGAAATGAGTGCAATAATTTAACAAGATTGGGGAAATGTTTTTAGTGAGCACAAAGTCAGGCTAACAATTGCCCTTTTAAACCAAGAACACAATTTCATTACTACAGCAGGTTATGGAACTTTTAAGTGATACACTAAAATCGAGATTGTCGTCAAGATAATCTCTCTCTCACCCCCTTACATCATCCCCTACTTTGTCTCTTAAATCAGAAGCAGTAATATACTATGTTTTTCTCAATTTGGCTAAGGAGAGAACTAAATGGTAGTTGATGTCCTTCAGCAAATATCTAACTAGTTGTAGATATAAGACGCAGCTCAGTCTGGGAAGGCGTGCTTGTCTACAAGTAAATTGAAGCTCCCAGTTCTTTTTGTGGTTGCATATCCTTGCCCAACTTCACCTGGCTGCTGGAATATTTTCCTTAAGAGTACAATAAAAGCTTCACTATACTAACCCTGATTTGGTCCACTTGAAGAGTGAGAAGTTTCCAAGCGGAAATGACTGTATATGGCCAGGATTCAGATACAACTGCAGAACTGTTCCTTTCCGTTCCTGCTTGTTGTCTGCTGGCCTATGGCTTCTTGGTGTGGTGTATTAACCAAGTAGAGTCTTAATCTGAGTCAGTCTCTCCACCCTTTCATTACTGTTCGCGTTCCTTGAGTTTGGAAAACACCCTCTACAAAGTCATGGAAGACTTAGATTCTCTATAGAGAACAGTCTAGTTTATACACTGCATTGGACATACCTGAATGGTGACAGAAGCATTCATTGAATGCTATGGAGCTAGTATATCTTTAAACCATTGACAGAAGTAACTCATTTTTTCTCTTTTTTTTTAAAAGAAAGACCTGATTCAAACTAGACATTAGTTAGAATGAAATCATACAATTACTACAGCTGACAACAATCCACAAAATACCAGTAGTAGCTATATGTATAAAAAACTTATACCTCTGCTTATTTAGTATTTAAAAACTATTTATCTGTTTAAAATTTCAAAGTAGCCCAGCTAAACTTCCTTCCCTAAATTTAAAGCGAAGTGTGTAAATTCATCTTACATGCTGTTCTAAGTGTTGCATCTTATCCTTCTTTACCTTCTCTCATTTCTGCATTATTTAAGGACCTTAACCAGATAACCAGCAATTACTATTTCACTATCTAAGTGTTCCATAATAGATTACATATACTAATAAATTAAGAATTAAACCACCTCTGGAAAAATTTAAATGCTGTTACTTTGTTGAGCTTTTTGGTTATGAAACAGCTTTTTATAGCTGGGACACACAGCTTTAGAATGGATTTCCTGGGGTGAAACAGGACTGTGGCAGAATTAGACTAAATATTCTTGCCTCCTAGATCCCACTAACCATGAAGGTATTTTGACCTGCTTGTCAACATACACCTGAGAAATTCTGATGATGTCTTGAAGAAAAAATGCAGGCTGCTTTTAAAAGACTATTCTCTTAAAGCAATACAATTTCTTAAAAACCAACCCAAAACCCAAACCCCTAGGCCTTTACTTCCCATACACCAAGTTTTATAAAAGTTACTGGCCAACACAAATTTTATATATATATATATATATATTTTTTTTTTTTTTTTTTTTTTCCCCTTCCACCGAAGCGAATGATTGACACGGTGTCGGAGCTCGGTGCGGCTCTCAGCCCAAACGACGCGGGGTAACGGGGTCAGTTTTACCAAGTTATGATGATAAATCCATTTATTGCAAGATGGTCCGATGGCGTCGTAAATGTTGGTTAAGGGAAAGGTGCTCTCTATGATTACGGCAAAAGTGTTTCTCTGGACTTCAGCTGTAACAGTCTGGATCAATTTGCCTCCTTTAATCTATTACCCCCTCCGCCCTTCTCCCTCTCACCCCAACACTGAAGGATATTTAAAGTGAAGGGCAAAGAGATTTCTAGGAATGATAAATCATCGCGAATCCTTCCTGAAGTGTACAGAGATGGAAGTCTATATTAACAAGCTAATAATAACATTGAGGGGTGCTATTAGCCGCCTGAAATGAAGGAAAAATATATTTCGCATTTCTCTCTGTCTCTATGAGAGCGTGCGTGCGTGTGTGTCCATATGTCCGTGCTTACACAAAACGGATGTGGGAAATTGCTATCAGAGGTGTTTTACTGATACTGGAAGATCATGAAGGCGCTTAGAAACCTACCCCCAAAGCCTTAGACTTTCCCTTATTCCTATAAGCGGTGCTTTTCC